TTCTATTCTTTATTATTATTATTATTTTTTTTTTTGTTTTGAGGCCTGAGTGTTTATCGTGGTTTAAGCGTCAGTATTTCGGTGCGTGGGCCGCCGGTGTTTTTTGCTGCTAGGCTGCACCTGTGAGCCATTTTTCCTCCGTTGGGGTGTCCTTTCATCTTTTGGATTTGTGTTTAACGGTGATTGTGTATGTACGTGGCGCTTGCCGTACTTTGGGTATTGCTTGTGTGTTGGCTCTTGCTTCTCTCTCTGTGTGCTGCTGGCGGCAAGGAAGGAGGCGGCGCCGCGTGTGGTGCGATGCGCGGCACCTCCCCGGCTTTGTCGTGTGACTCTGCGGAGGACATCTATAACCTGCTGTGTGCCGTGCAGGCGCAGGCAAATGCGGATGAGGAGGAGGTGAAGACACGGCGACTTTGCATCACCAACCATGAACGCGAGACAGACCGGGCTCAGGAGGAGGCTCGCGACCTCTCAGAGCAGCACGCGAGGGCGTGTGATGAGTTGAAGGGGAAGCGGCTGCGCGTGGAAGAGCAGCGGCTGCGCCACGCAGGGGCAGTTGAGCACCTTAGCCGCACGAAGCAGGAGGTGGCGGAGGTGATGGGGGCGCTCTTCGAGTGTGAACTTCCGGTGCATTCGGCGGTAGAGAAGGGAACGCCGCAGGAGATTTTGTCCCCGGCGGTGCTTCGCAGCACCACGGCAAGCCTGAAGCAAAAAATCAGGGTGGCAATGGAGCAGCAGCGCCGGCGCGTCAAGAGCTGCAGCGCACTCCCTCCACAGCAGCACACGAGGCGGATTCGGCCAATGAAGAGAGCGACGACGCGGGTCACCCCTTCACTGTGCGCTTTCGCCGTGAGTCGGTGCCAGCTGCAGCACCGTCGTCATTTCCCGCCAACGACGCTGCAGCTGGCACCGAACTCACAGGCGAAGGGAGAAATTTGTTTCCGTCGGTGCGTCCGCGGCGAAAAGTGGTCACATTTAACGATACTCAACTGGAAGTGCACACGGAGAAGAATTCATCATCATCTGCTGCCGCCACTGTACTGCCGAGGGCGTTCCCTGCTGATTTGGAGGAGGAAACGGCTCCCGCTTACGGTGTACTGAACACGAGACGCTTCCCTCGACGAACGTTGTGGCAAACGAAGTCCTGCCCACAGAAGTAAGGCGCAGGTGGCCGCGTATGCCAACATCAATGCATACGCATGCATGCCATCTGGCTCTCTCTCTCTCTCTCTCTCTTTCTCTTTGTGTGTGTGTTGCCTGCGGCCTTTACAGATAAACAGTTGCAGATTTCATGGGCGATTTTATCTTTTTTGTCTTCCACACACACACAATTTATTTTTGGTTGCATTGTTAAAAAAGTTTTCTTTACATTCATCAACGCCCGATGAATAAACACACGTATATTGTTTTTTGCCTTTGCTGTGGGATTTATTGCTGCCGTGGTTGTTTTTTCTTTGCAAGAGTTTGGTACCTGATGTGCGTGTGCGTGCGTGTGGGCCGCTTCCCATTTTTATTTTTTTTGATTGGTTGTCACTCTCCGGTTGACTCTCTCTCTCTCTCTCACACACACACACACGCGTACCAGTTCTTACTGTGCGCCACGTGAAGCGAGTGGAACGAGAAGAGTGGGCCCGTCACGACGGTGAGGCACTTGACTTTGGCTCCTGCGGCGTAAAGAAGGAAGGAGGACAGAAGTAAGCAAAAATAATCTCAACTGGGTCGGCAGAGGCAGTGTTGAAGATTAGGAGACGCCAATTAGTCTGTCAGTGAACGAAGAAATGACGGTGGAGCTTCAGCCACGTATCGATGGCCTTCTTGCTTCATCTCCGCTTGCACCGCATCGGCATTTCTGCATGTTACCTAGGGAAATGCAGTCTGTAGTGCCCTTCAAGAGCTGGTACGTTTCAAACTACTGCAACGAGGAACATTTGCTTGTGCTGCTACGGTTGCAACGGTGTTGGCCTTCTTTACAGCGTGCGATCACAATTTACTTTAAGATTTGGAGCTTTACGGGTGAGACGGAATTTTACACGGCCTTCTTCTCCACGATGGCATGGCTTGGCTTATGGCAGGAGGAGCTGAATATGATGGTGTTAATGTGTCTAGGTCAATATATAACTGGGACGTTGAAGGACGCGGCGGGGTGTCCACGGCCGCCATGGCCACCAGTAGAGCTTCGTGGACGAACGAATGCCTCGATGGAGTACGGCTACCCAAGCACTCACTCTTCCAGCAGTCTTCTCTTTGCGTATTCTGTGTACAATTTTTTGATTCTTCTTTTTCCCAACCATCCCGTGGCCTGCTCAGTGGCCTGCGTCGTGTTTATCGTCAATGTCAGCTTGTCGCGTCTGTTTCTAGGAATGCATTGGCCTGCAGATATTGTGGCTGGATTTGGCGTGGCGGGGTTGATTATCTTGTCCCACGTTGCCTTCCTGCGGTCTTGGATTCTAGCCATCGCTTCGCTGGCCACCGTGGAGGTGTGGCACTATCTGTTGGCCATTCTTGTCGTGCAGGTGCTAGCCGTGTCTCACGCTGCACCTCGCGAATTTTGCCCGTGCTACTTGGACAGCCTGCGCTTCCTTGGCGCAACGCTAGGAGCTCTCTTTGGAGAATGGACCTTTTACACACAGTACGGCACGCACGTGGCTGGAGCATCGTCTGACGACTTATACGGAACGCTCTTTTCGTGGAAATTTTTGGTGCAATATATATCTTGTTTCTTTGTGCTTGTGATTGGGAAGACGGTAACCTCGTTCGTCGCCGCTCCCGTCCTTCGCCATTTTTTTTGCTTTGCTTCGCGGGGCGCTGCACCGAATCGTCCGTGGCTGTGGCGACAAGTAAGGGCCGTGGTGTCGGACGCCGTGCGTCGTGCGTACTGGATTCCCCCTTGCGAAGCGCCGACTGCGGGTGTCGCGCAACAACATTGGGAGGCGCCAAGCGCCGACTCTGCATGCCAGTCGGGCTGCGTGATAACAGCGGCGTCGACGGTGGAGATCCCACTGCCGCATACGTGCGAGGCGGACACGACGCCGCACAACTCCGTACAGTTGTGGTCCCCACGCACGCACCGTCACTGGTGGCTGTGGGAGGCGCACAGGTGCACCGTCGTCTACTTCGTGGTAGGGTTCATGACCATGTACGTCTGCCCGGTCATACTGCGTGTCTTTTTTCGTGGAAGTTAAGAGCACGGTGGTTTTTTTTTTCGTTTCTTTTCTTTTTCCTTGCCGTGTCAGCCGCATTGACAGGCGCGGGAGACAACAACCACAAAAGAGGCCCCCGCGAGAGGGACTAAGAAGGAGCGAAGGTGCCCTCCACCTTTCTCACGCAGTGAGTGAGAGGTATACATGCGAAATGAAATTTGTCTCTTTATTCCCTGTTACTGCCCAATGCTTTTTTTATTTTTATTTTTTATTTTTGATTCTGCTCTCCCCCACCCTCTCACACTATCGCCGTGGTGGTGGTGGTGGTGGCGGTGGTGGTGGTGGTGGTGGTGGTGGTGGTGGCGGGGCGGCAACAGGGAGGAAAGACGCGCTCAGATGCTTAAAGACTTGTTAAAGAAAACCAAAATTCGCAGCGGAAGAAAAAAATAAAAATAAAAAATAAAAATAAAAAATGAGACACGGATGCGGAGCGCGACAAAATGATATCTATGGAGGGAGACCACGGTCAGATGCTTGTAAAAGCAACACACGCAATGCATAGATACACAAATCTAACGTAATACGTACATATATATTCTTTCTTTGTATATTTTCTTTGAGGGTTATTGTATGCCATTACCTTGCCACTTCCTTCTATTTCAGCTGCCTTCAGTGGCGTTCTGGCGCCTACTCGCTGCTAAGGCTCGCAGAGAGATCACGCGGCAGTCATACCCATCACCGCCGAACCCCCGTACGTTCAGGCGGACTCCGCGTACAGAGGACTTCCTGTGAAGAGCACAGAGCGCTGTTACAGCGGCACCATGGCGTTTCGCCTCACTCTGCCCGCGCTCGGATCTCGGGCGAAGGGTTACGAAAACCGTGTGATGGTCTACGCACACCGCCGCCACCGTGCACGATATCAGGCGCCCAAGCTGCCCCATACACGCTCGCCGCTGGCGAATAAGCCCCCGGAGGAGTACGGCAACACATGGGACCCTCGAACGGGGATGGATTGGTACTGCCGGATGCGGCACCGTGGCGCCTACCGTCACTGGCCGTGGGCGCGGTGGACCGATGACCCTGTTCGCCACCACCACGAGGCGCCGCCCAGTCGGACTTTTTCGCACATCTCAAACGGGTCGAACGACGGTGTGCCCCTGTGGAACTACTACGCGGAGGTAGGGCAGGAGTACAACACACCGAGCCACTTCCCGTTGCACTATATGACTCCCTTCATCCACCAGTACACAGGGAAGGTGTGGTCGAAGCATGATATTGAACGCCACCTGAGGCTCATTGAGGAGCGAACAGGGCTCCTGTCCATTCAGGATGTGCACGACAATTTACCACGACTGCAGGAATGGGGAGAGGTGGAGATGGGCGCGGTGCCTCATGGCCTTATTCAGCATGTGGAGATGCTAGCAGACGAAATCGTTTTGCAGAACCAGAAAAAAACATTTAGAAAGAAGTTGCATGAAAGTGGTGTGCTGCGGACCTCCACAATGGAGCGGTACTACGCACTGCCACACCTACGCTCGGGCCCTGCCATGCCAAGGATACTTGCGCAGCCGTCGGGGGTGTTTCCGTGGGGCAAGTACACATACATGCTTGGGGGCACAAAAATTCATCCACTCCACAGGCCAGATGGTTTTTTCAAGGATAATATGTACCCGGCGTAGGCTACAGCAACAACAAGGACTGAATACATTCAGGTTTTTACTTGTGTGTATGAATGCACCTCTCTTGTGTTTTGGAGTATTAACTGATGCCAGCAGTAAATACACAGGTATAGAGATGGGGAGAGGAGGATTAATTTTGTATACATTTGACTCAACCCCACTTGTTTTCTTTTTCTTGAGCCTGCGTTCTGTCACATTGGGGGAAGAAGGGATACACACTTAATACGCGCGTAAGGAGAAACATCACTCCGTCTCTCTTTTTTTTTTTTTGACTGCTGAGACTGCGACGGCATCTTTTACGGTTTGACCGTTGGATCCCTGCTGCTTCCGTCGGGTTCACTTTTGGAGCGGCGTTGCGAGGTAAACAAATTTTAATGTGGGACTTTTTCAGCGACGTGCGTGCAACGGTTCGCCAGGCAGTCGCCCCGCGCGGGTGCGGCGCCACTGGAGAGCCCCGGCACCACAATCAAGTGCAACAGCCATTTGCTTCCGATGACACGGGGGTTGGCGACTATCTCAGTGACTGGTGGGGCACCATCAACAAAACGGCGATGACACTCCTGCAGAATGCATTTGGAACATTAGGCAGTGATGCAAGTGATGAACCTCTTCCGCTTCTGCTGCGGCTTTCTCCCCAGCAGCGCAAGGCTTTGTCCCCTGACGAAATCATTCGTGGAGTGAGTGAGGCAGTAAGTGTTATTGCCATCCGGTCCGACGCAGCGCACAAAGAGGCATGCTTTCTTTTGAGCCTTAGTTTTGAAGAACAAATCGCACACACCAGCGACTTTCTCGACTGCCATCATTGGTGGGAGCAACTAGTTAACAGACGTCTCACCCTGTTTCAAGAGATCCTGCAAGACTGCAAATGCCCTCCGGAAAGTGACGACGCCCAGACAATACGTTTGCTGACTCAACGAATTCACGCTATACGAGACAAATGCGCACAAGATATGGAGGCCATTGCCTCCAGGGGGTGCATCTTGCGTGACGAGAGGTACGATGCTCTTAGCAGACCCTTTGGTAGTACAGAATCAAACACTATGCTACCTGAGGATTATCAAATAGAAACGACGTACGTCACCAAAAACAACAACACGGATGACCAACAAAGCAACGACTTCACCACAACGTACACACTTCGCAACACAACTAACGACAATCGACGAGTAACGGACAACAATCAAAGAAAAGTAAAAGACAACAACGTGAAGAGTTTCCACAAAGAAAAGGAGGCACGTCACCTAGCTGAGGAGGAAGCACGTCGCCTGGCTGAAGAGGAAGCACGTCGCCTGGCTGAAGAGGAAGCACGTCGCCTGGCTGAAGGAGGAAGCACGTCGCCTGGCTGAAGAGGAAGCACGTCGCCTGGCTGAAGAGGAAGCACGTCGCCTGGCTGAAGAGGAAGCACGTCGCCTGGCTGAGGAA